GTCCGCTCCGGAGCCCTTCGCCTCGGTGCTACACAACCCAGCTCGTGGGAATATGGCTTTTATATCTGCTGGTTGGCCTACTTGAGCAGTAAGTAGTTATTTTCTAATGACTGACAAGTAGCTTTAAAATATGTTCTCGCTCTTATTCAGTTTTGTCATAGGTGGATCAAACATGGGAATATTCTAAATGGAAACAGAGAGAGCTGTGTGCATGCATTCACCTGATAGCAGACTATTAAGAGTTGGTTCAGTTACTTACTACAGTTGTCCATGCTGTTTCTCCAGTTCTCAAGGATTAAACCCATTGAGCTGCATGTTCGTGCATACGATCCCAGCGCAGAACAAATATAAGGAAAGGTCTCTTCATAATTACAGGCTTGGTAGACACATCTCTGAAACCCAATACATAGAGAGTACTCTGTTACCGGGGAGCAGACATTTGGAAGTGCTAAACCCTGGAGTATTTAGAAGGCGTGTAGGTGTGGTGCTTGGGGACATGGTTTAGTGGTGGACTTGGCGGCGTTAGGTTTACTGTTGGACTCGATGCTCTTAAAGGTCTTTTCCGACCTAAATGATTCTACAATTCTATGCTGAATTGCAGAGGTAAGTCATGCAAAATACATATTATTGCATAACTAAAGTTGATGAAAAAGATCAGATTAATTGCCTGATTGACATGAATAAAACATACTTAGTACCTAAAAAATGCCTTTGTTTATTCTCTGCTTTTAATTTTTAATTTTCAAAATGTTTTGTGGAGATTGGCAAATATAATGAGCTCAATTATGCACATGGGAAAATCAATACTTTGCATGGTTAAAGTTGTCAACATGGAGAACTGCAGCATGAGCAAAAATACCTTCTGATTCATAGGGATGGGACTGATGCCTATGAACAAACAGACTTTTAGTATGGTGGAGACATAATTTTCAAAACCACACTTGTTCCTTAGCTTCTATGCATTGCTGATCCAAATGAGTGGAATACTGTATATGAGTATATGGTCCATATATACTGTATATGGTCCATATTTGGACTCCCTCTGTACACTGTCTATCATCATTTCCTACCTTGTAGAAAGGAATAGGGTTCACCACAGCATGGCATTTCTCGAACACTGTACCCTTCTTGGTAAGAATGGAGCAATGAGTCTCAGCAGATATTTCTAATGAAAGTGAATCATGGACATTAAATAGAGAAAGTTAGGAAAAAGAAATGAAAAAATGAAAAAGAAATAAAAAAATGAAAAAGGAATCAAAAAAAACCTGGACACACTACTTTAGCTAAGCTTTTGGCAACGATAGATTGAAGAAAAGGACAAGCTGTTGTTCAAACAGCTCAGTAGGGCTTTTTTTTTTTTTATAAGACCAACAGCAATAGAGACTTGAGAAGGCAAAGCCTGAATTTCAGTCACAGCACTTCTGAGCAAGTCTAAGACATCCATGGACGTTGCAATTTCACTGAAAATATCACCCAAACCCTCTCATTCGTCATCTCAATCCCAGATCTCTAGAATGGGATCTGATAAGCTTTCACTAGATACGCATTCTAGAAATCAGAAATGTCTTGTTGGTGACAGAATTTGTGATGTTCAATCATCTCAGTCTCTGCGTCTTTCAAACTCTCTCATTCCCCTGATACAGGCTCATGGAAGTGTCAGACAAAGCCGGCTGGAGAGATCAGTTACAACAGGATCATCTACTTACTGTTCAGTTGACTCAAAGCGCAAGGGTCAGTATCTCTCTCTAAAGCAGGATGGCAATTTCCTGCCCTCCAGGAATCTACAAACAGGGAAGCTGTCCCTTCAGTGATATCCATGCTAGTCATGAAGTCATCTGTAGTGTCTCCATTGTAATTGCCACACAAACCTAATGACATAAGAAATGCAAGGAATGGCTGAAAATTAAAGGATGTGTACACAGTGGTCTATGTTTCATTCTATAATAGTGAGAAATTCAATGGAGTGACCAATACTATAGGTCAAGTAGCCAGAGAATCTTGATTACCTACACATTCAGTCTCTGAGCCTCTGCCTTTTCAAGTTAAGATTGTCCACTTCTATTCAATGACAACTTCATACAGAAGTGTTTGTTTTGGTTTTAGAAAAAAGGCTTTTTCAGTGGTTTTAAATCATGTAGAAGAGAAAGGCCATGAAATACTTTTGCACTTACGCATGTTTTCTTATGTATATAAAATCTGTAATGATAAAGAATATACATTTAGACTTTTTTAAAAGCTAAAGCCTCTCTGTAATTCGCCATAGATAATTAGAATGCAGGATATGTCTTTGAGGCTAATGTTGCTGTGCAATAAACACAAACATCTCCATCTGGTGCTTATCAGCTGAGAAGCTTTTAGATTCTTAGGCTCATTGTGTTTACAGTGATCGTGCGCTGCATTCAAAGAACCATGTGCTCCAAGATGTAGAGTCCACACAGACTAATTTGTTGCCCCTTCATTGTGTAGTAAAGCACATATTGAAAAAGGGACACATAAAACATGTGAGTAACAGTATTATATTACACATGAAAAATGTCACCCGTCTAATTTCTCTGATTCGTTTAAAAGTTACTAGCAAAAAAAAAAATTCTTAGCACATTGATTTTCCAATGCAGGTATTTTTATTGTTTTTTCTTTGAATCAAGAGAGGAAAGTTTATTCCTTAGGATGAGGAAGGATGAGTATTAAGCTTTCAAAATTACACTTCCTACGTTTTCTCCTTCACAGGGGGACTAGATTTCTTACCCAGGGTTCTGCCTTTGAATTGTGATCCAACTTTCACATAGGCCTGGAACACAGGTGATGTTTGAACTACAACTTCCAGCCCGAAGATTGTATGCATTTGAATGTACATCGAGGACTGTCTGAAAATAGTGATGTCTCCTAAAAGAACAAGGATATTTAGAAACAGAGATTTTGATGCATAGGATATTGAAAGTAATGATTTTAATGCATACGTAAGTGTTCTAGCATTCTGTCTACAAGTCTTCTCCTTCCACACACAACTCTCCGCAGAGGGACAGATGCAATGGGAAAGATTTTAATCTTCCTCTAAAACCTCTGCTATTGGCAATTGTGAGAGAAAAGATGCTGGGTTGTGTAAAATAGACATTTAATGTAATTTGGATTTCACGTATATTCCCTTTTCTTTACCTGATCTGTAAGGTAGCCGCTTAAGTTCATCATCATCAGTAAGGAGTTCATTCTGAGAAATCACAATTTTGTCCTGTAAGAAAAGGACATGGAATCAGAAGTAATTATCTGTACTGATGGTATTCATATGTTCTTTAACTTAAGCAACTGTATTGTCAATGACTTATATAATCAGAAAAGATTGATTCAAATTTTTTCTCACATATTATTCCATACTGCTTTCAGTTTTCACTTTGAAAATACTCTTAACTTCCTGAGTTGATGTGGCAACAGATATCTTTACTGTGTATACGTGACTGGAACATATCCTTAGTATCTATCCCCCATAATTTTTCAGTTCAGCCTACTAGCAATGACTTTAAGTATTTATTTTGCTAATCTGGTTACTGAAATGCTGGATGGAACCTGTGGAGGGAATACTAACCTTTGTAGACAGGTAAATTACAGCACTAAGTGACGTCTCAGAATGAGAATAACCAGACTTTTCATATACAGCCATTAGGGTTCCATTGTGTGGCAGGCTGGAACTCTGGAGGAAAATAGTGAAAAGGGAAGTCTGTGTCAGAATAACAATGATTTGTAGAATAAACGTGTATCATAGGAAGACCTCAGTTTGTGTTCCAATAGGAAACCAAAGACAGACTGAAATATATCCATTTGATACTGTGTGTTTCTAGACTGCAGGAAATTACCTTCATAAGAATGTAAGTGCAAACCCCATGGAACCTGTACGGTCTCGAATCAAACGTGGTAACAAAGGAGCCTCCTTCCAGTGAACACCTTCCAGGGCAGGGCAAGTCTTTGCAGTTCCATTGACCCATCGTACATTTACTGAGGAAAACAAGAAGTTCTCTGTAAGTTTATTCTCATACTAAGACACTATTTACCAGCAGAGGATTTGATCCTCCTGTCTGGAGGTTTTGCTGCAGCTGATCGACATGCAAAAATGTTTAGTGAACACAGTGTAACATACATACACATGCTGAACTTTCATTTCCACTGTTTTGAAATTTCTTTTCTTTATGCTCTAAAAACTCAGCTACTTCCTAGCAATGGAAGATGTCATTTGTATCACTTTTCCCCTTATACTTTCTATGCTTTGATTTTCTTTGTCTATGTATATCAGTTGAAGTTCATTCATCTTAATTCAAAGTTGCTGAACCCTTGTATTGATTGTCAGTAAACTTTCCTGAATTGATTAATCATTAAAAGTGCATTCATTGTTACAGTCCTGAGGATCAAGTCCATTATTTATCCTTTATTTTATTTATTAGAATTATAATAGCAAGAGAAGTAACACACACACAAAAAAAAAATCCACTTTTTTTTGAAAAAATTTCCAAATTTAAAAAATATTGTCTTAAGTAATTATTTTCTGTGGCAAAACAGAAATTTAGTTTTCAGTGCTCATTTGGTGATCAGAAATGCTGAGATTACCAGAAAGAAATTGTAAGTACTGGATATTTGTTTTTACTAATTTTACCTCCACTTTCACAGAGGAGATAAAAATGCTGCTGTTTCACGTGGCCTGAAGGAGCATTTATATTTATACAAATTAATCAGGAAATGAGACGTGTACATCTTCAATTACAAATGTATCATTTGTGGCACTCAAAGAAGGTGGCCTCAGAGATGGTATGACACCTTTGCAGCTGCCCTTCAAAAAGTTAGGCTAAATTTTCCAATTGCTTGGTGAGGATACTCTCCATCTTCTCATGAAAGTACCTGTTGCTACTCACCAGGTCCTACATGCTGCTTTCATTGTCTCACCAGGAGCATATGTTTTCCCGTTCAGTGTACATGGACACTGCTTAATGTGAACGCATGTTCGATTCTTTGAGATGTCATCAAGAACAGTTCCTGCCAAAGAGGATGAACAAAATAAATACTTTTCCGTACCCTTACTTAGCAGTAAAGCTATTATAGCTTGAATGCCTTCCAAAATTAGCTTGAGAACGCTATTCTTGCACAGCCAGTGCCCATACTTGGAGATATAACGTGCAGGACATTTTCTCTTAATTAAAATAAAACTGACTCTTTACAAGTGATAACAGCATTTGGCTACTTTGTTATATGAAAGTGCAGACAATTGTCTTCATTTGAAATTTGAACTTAATTTGAAATAACAGTAAGCTTGAGTGTTATTTTTTCAAATTTTTCTTTTTTTTGCTATGACACTAATTAAGTTGGGAATTTTGAAGAATGGACACACTCTATCTCCTAGAGTACTAAGTCCAGTTTTAAATATGTAGCTCACAACACATTACTTTTGACTACTATAAAGTGGTGATGATATTGATGTAAATACCCACATCACAGTAACCTTGGAGGATATTTCAGTTCTGAAATTTCAAGAAATGAAGCAAATGATAATCATAATTACAATTTTTGTAGGAAGTTCATCTTGAACTATTTTAAAGGGATTTTACAAAATGCCCATAATATTGCAGAACGTCTCTAAGGTATGCTGCCTCTTGCTGGTGCCCTGAAAAGCTAGACACCTGCTTGGGATAGGAAATTAATTCAGCTTACTCGATGTATATTATAGTACAGAACTTTAAGCAGGCAGCATATAATTATCCCATCATGTATCACGGTCTTGTGAGGAAAATGCTTTCACAGCTCTGTTCTTGCAAATGGTGACCAAGGATCTTTAAGGACCATGACTATTCAAGATTCCAGTTTTATTACGTTACCCGAGAAATGGCAGTTGTAGCAGCACAATGCCCTGAAATGCACTGCTGGTTCATTATTAAGAAGTCTATTCCACTTGACTGGATATATGCCAAAAACATTTGTATGGGCCATTTAGGATATGACGAATACAGAAATGATACCTTCTGGACAAAAGCAACCATAGGTACAGTGACTGGAACAGCTGTACTCTGGGTTGGAACAGGTTTTAATACATGGAGAACCACATTCCTCATAGATCTGGTTAGCAGAACACTTTCCCACAGCTGCAACAAACAGTGAAAATGTTAGGATTTTTAAAGTGTAAACATAGAAGAATCTCTCATCTACCACCTAGGATGGAGAAGACCTTGTGATTTCTGGCACTAAGGTTCTCTTATCCTGCCCCAATACTCAATTCGTCATCTGAGTATTCATCATTACCATCGCATTCACTCTAGCTTTTATTCATTTTTCATGCCCGATTTATTAGAAACTCTATTCAGAAGCTTGAAGAATGGCAAACAGGCTATATTGCAGCCTAATAAACTACCACAAATCAGATTTGCTCTACTGCTTGAAGGATTTAAGGAGTATAACTCTTGATCTTCTGTATGGTTCCTGCTTCTCAGACATTATCTGCTTTTCAGAATGCAGCTACCTAGCGATTCTAACATATGGAACTCAGAACATGTTTTATTATGTGATAAATTCAAGCAGAGATTTTTCCTTATCTGAAAGAGTGAAAATAAGTGAGGTAGGGAAATAGAGGTAGTTAGAGATGAGGCTGACAAAAAAACAATAAAGACTAAAAAGTTCATTACCTTTCTGTATTTGGCATTTATTTGCAAATTCTCAGATTCTTAGCTTTGCATTTTTGAGAAACGAGGGTTCCCATTCCCTTTTTTTTCCAAGCTTTACCTTTTATCACTTTACTACCAGTCCTAGTAATGGTCTACTGGCAACATGAAAACTGCTATGACTCGGAGAAAACCAGGCTGTTATTTTACTGTGATTAGTAAGAATTATTGTACTTTGAATGCACACAGTGCCTTACTAATATTTATCTGAATCTATAAAATGCCATGAGGAGTTTACAATTTTTAAGGATTAAAACCAATTGCCGACCAACAGAAGATTAAAATGGGTTACCAATTTATGAAAGATGGATAACCTTAGAGAAGAGGAGGGGAAAAATTATTTTAGAAAGAAGTGCAATTTTAAAGTGTTGGGGATAATAATGGAGCTTAGTAGGGAACTAAGTAAGTATGAGGAAAGAATAGAAGAAAACTCAATGTTAAATACAAAACAAAAAATGAAGAGTGGCACCAGTACAAGAAGATCAAGAGGAGAATAGAAGAATACGGCACCAGAGATGCAGGGAGGGCAAAATGATGCAAGGCCTCCTAAGTAACAATGGTGAGATGATAAACTATGGCAAGTTAAAGGATGACTTCAGGAATATAATTCAACTGTGATTTCACTATTGTTATGCTAAAATCTAAATGGTAGCCAATGTTAAAGATTTTTGAAACAGAATAAGAATCAAGGGATAAGGAGAAATATATTCCTGTCAAAGCAACTTTACAAATTTGCTACCCATGACCATGTATTCATATAAAGGATAAATAAAAATATGATTAAATGATATGCTTCTGAAAGACAGTATCATATTAAGCAAGGTCATTTTGAAAGCTCCTCTTTTTTGACATGAGCTGCATCTTTGGTAGTTTAATGTGTGAGTTGGTTTAGAAATTACAACATCAATTTAAGTTACTTTTGACTTTTTTTATGATCAGCATGTTCTCTTATAAAACAATGAATCCTACTACATAACACTGACTATAGATTGAAGTTTCAGGTGGATTCAAAAAGAGTGCAAAAAGTGAATCAGAACTTTGATAACAGACAGGCACTTGAAAAAACACGTGTCTAATCATGTACAGATTGGAGAGTAATGGAAGATTTGCTTCCTATTTACTTCCAATCAGTAGTTGTAATTAAGAAGGTTGAGCATCTGAAAATGGACTACTGAAAATCTCCTGTGATTAAAAGGGCTATGGCAATTGTTAGCAAAAATGTTCAAAGACTTCAGAGGCCATTTAAAAGTTCTCTCTCTTCACTGGCTAATTTGCTAAGTACAATAATGAAAAAACTGTACTAAGAGAGAACAGCCTCCTGTTGAAAGTCTGAGAAATTCAACTGTTTTCACTTGGTGGATGTTTCTCTCTTTTATGGTTGCTGATCTAGACGTAGCAGTGACGTTTCATGCTTCGTCCTTCTCCTTTGAGGTTTTGCTCTCCTTCTTAATGCTTTATCAAAGACCACGGTTGCTCTCTTAAGAAAATAATTTGCTTGATTCAAGACAGTAGAGACTTTTCTGTCCATTGATTTAAATTCCAGTTAATCATCATTCTCCCTCTATGTAAGATATAGTAAAGTACAATCTCCTATGAATAAAATATTTGAACTTACAGCAGAAGTTTTCAGTTCTCCAGTTGAACACCATTTGATGGGACATAGCACATTGCCTTGAATACTCTGACAGCGTAGAGCAAGTGCAATTGTTCTGTCCTGGCTCACTGCAGTCCTGCATATCAAGCTGGCAACGAATGACAAACCCGTCCTTTGGCACGCTGCAGGTTGGTGACACCGAGTTTAGTAGCTGAGAGCAGATCATGGCCTAAATAAAAAGAGAAAGAAAATTGTTCCTAGTAGTGTTTTCCCCATGTGAAAACCACAACAGAATAACAGTGCTAGTTATGATTTTCTTGTTGGTTTGTTTGCTTTTCCCCCCTACAGTTTGGTAATATGTATTTGACTTAAAATGCATAAGAAATTCACAAATAGAAGGGACTATAAATCCATTGTATAATAGAAGGATCTTGATATGTTGAATTAGTTCCACTTCTCATTAAGCTGAAAATTAAGTCATTCTTTCAGTACCATCAATCCCCCTAAAAATGGCTGAGAACATTACAGGTAGGGAGTATGTTGTCTCGCAGAGATTCAGTTCCAGGACAAATATCTCCGATGTAAAGATCCCCTTCAGGAAACATTTGATACCTTTGTATTGCCTACCATGTTGTCTACTGCAGTATAAGGTCTCAAAGAGAAATAATGTAAAAAGGTTGAACCTCACAGCCAATAGAAGTTCTCCACCAGATCAAAGCAATTTTTCAGTGTGAATACAAGTAATATTTACAACCCTCTTCTTCAGAAAAGTGTCTTCCTCACAAGACCCATAGAAACTCTTGTTCTTTGTTCCTGCTCTTCTTGCTAAAGAGATGCTACAAAACTGTTTTTCTGTTCTGGGAAAAGGAGAATCTCAGAAGGACTCTAGCTGACTCTTCCTCTATAGTATGAAAGCTAAACTTTTTAGCAAGGTGAATGGTTTCTATGTTCAAACTAAGAGATTCTTGGGTTGCTAGAAAAATAAGATGATACTATTAAGGAAAAAAGAATAAAAATCTCCTATTTCAAGAGAAACTTTTTAAGCTTTCTGTAATTACTAGTAACCTATATACTGCATACAAATAAGTACATGAGAATTGCAAAGTAAGATCACATTCTTGTGAGGAAGTACAAACGGAACCAAAGAGCATGATCATTCTATGTAAAGTGAAATGCTTTTTAGAGGATAGTGATGAGTACTTGCCATTAGGTATATGGTGACTTTATGATCTCCTAGGCAGAGAAAAGAACAGGTTGCTGAGAGAAATTGTGGAGTTTCCATCTCCTGACCTTGGAAGATCCACCCAGGAGACACTCAAAACCTACTAGGACATTGGCCTGGACAACCTGCTCTAGCTGACCCTGCTTTAGCAGAGGGGTTGGATTAGATGATCTGAAGAGATCCCTTCCAAGCTAAACCATTCTGTGATTCTGTAAAATCTGTGTAGGAATGCAAAATTTGAGTTTCCCTGGTGAAACAATTTAACAGGATCATCCTAAGTAGGATTTGATTCCTGTATCTGCAAAATCGAAGAAATAGAAGCCCTTTTGTTCTTTGCTGCTACCAAGCTTCGTCTTTTAACCATAGTTACATGGATGCACCATGTTTCAGGTACACGGACTTTCTTTTCATCTAGAAGTGAAAGTGATAGCAGTTGATAGTGGTTGGCCCTGTTATGAACGCTGTTATCTGACAATATGTTTAAAGCATCATTGAATGTCTTCAAGTCTGTACAGCTTATAATGTCAGGTCTCTAGTTGTTCAATAAAATGTTCTTTAAACCTTCACTGGTTTCCATTAATTTCCTATGATGACCTACATCAAATGTCAGAAAGCTGTGAGCTGGTAGGTTTATATGAGCGATATAAATCCAGCCTCAAAAATGCCCACGGGCCTTTTTCAAAATGTATTTTAATGCAAAGAACTCCTTTTCTTTCTCATATCATGCTATGCAAATTTTGACTTTATCCATTTTCATGGAAGTCAGTTTTATGAAACCACTGCCTCCCCATTGTTGGTTTCTATCTATCTTTCCACCTCTGTTAACAGTCATGCAGAAAAGCCAAGAAGATCTTTCTTACATATTTTTTGTGAGGAATGGTGGGAATCGATATCTCCTCAGACAGGCAGATCTCTGATGGATCATCCATTTTTTGTAATGCAGCAAATTTATATGTATCCAGCAATTTACCTGTAAACAGAAGGGTTATAATTTGTCAGGAAAAAACCTACATGGATTTGTTTAATTGTTACTGTGATGTAGCAAAACTCAGCTTTTACTCTTTGACTGTCAAAGGTCCTACTAATTAATCTTCCTGATGATAACAACCTCTTTTGCCCTTTACCTGGAGTCTGTTCACTAAAGCATACTTTTATCCCTTTGATAATTTCTCTGAGCTATTCCTAATCTATCACATCTACTACCTTACGTGATACCAGCTGTGACTGTGCCAGCTGTGCTACCTTTTGCCATGCCTCTTCTCCTCATTCCCTATTCTTCTATCTTCCCCTACATATGGGGTTAAACTCATCACAACCCAAAAAATGTATACTTTTTAGAACTCTTTTCTGTGTTGTGTATAGAAAACTGCATCTGGCTGCGTTGATCTGAGATTAGTTTACTGTGCAATTTAATGTCTCCACACTAGCCCTGTAGTTCGGATTAGCAGTGTGCTTTTAAAGCAACTCTTCCAAACATCCCCACTCTGTATAATTTGATTTCCATTGTGGAGTGGTCTTGGCATACAGAGTTCCTTTAAGATGAAACCAAGCCAAAAGATGTGCTCCAAGAGCGTGTGTGGTGGGCTCCAACTGCTAATGGGCATTAGTTCAACAGACCAGATTAGAGTGACTCTGAAGTGACCATCTCAAATCACATATAGCGCAGATGTCAAGTCCTCAGCACCAACTATTTTGTTCTAAAGATCCACCCTTATTGGGACACACTACTCGTTAATGTTCTTGTCCACTATGTTCTTTTTATGATAGCCTTATTCGTGCTTCTGCCTAACATAATAATTTCCCTCACTGTGCCTTGCTATGAACCTAGACTGTTCTGAAAGTTAGGTGAGAGAGAGTGTGATCCTTACCACCTGTTTCTACAACGTAAGAGTCCTTATCACTTGTCTGAGGAACCCACAATATTAATTCATAGCAAATAATAGTGTGCAGCATAATCATATGATAGGTATGTTGGTGAGCCATGGGAGTGCTTTACTGAATTCTGAAACTGAGTGAGCAGTCAGAGCAACGTTAGTACAGTATTAAATTTCCACCTTGATTCAGTTTAACTAGTTCTCCTTCCATCTTAGGTCTTACCTTCACTCACAAATTCATTCAATTCATAACCATCATAATTTCCACACATTCCACAGGTTTTCCCCATATATTTTTTTTCAGTCAAAACCTAAAATAAAATAAAGCAAAACATTTAAAAGGATCACCCTAAGTAAAATTATCTATACAGCATTACTTTTCTCAAACAAATTCAGTTCAAGGATCCAATTAAAGGTGATCCTTCTCATTAATTTCAGTGACTTGATTGGAGGAAAAGTTTTGGAAGTAATAACTTCTTTTCCCAATTGGCAAATTGTTGCGATGTTTTGATTTAATAAAAGAATAAGATTCTAAGACATTTGCAGAGAATTGAGAGGGGATAATATTCTAAGGAGCCAGAAAAGATAGAAAAGGAAATGATGGTGTTTTCTTACTCATATCTTTGTTGACAGAGCACAAATTTCAGGTTTGTTCTCTTAAGAAATTAAAGGTTACAGGAAGAAAATCTGTTTTCAGAAGAAGGTTATTCAATTATCTGTTGCTCTGGAGAGTAAAGTGGTAATATTACTATTGGCTACAATCAATGAATTACTATGAAAACCTTAAATCAGAGGAAATAATCTGACTATACGTAGAATATAGTGTGTATCCATCACAGTAGCATTTCCTGTTATATGTGTGATAGTAATGCTGGTAAATCTCCCAGACAATTTATTACTTAACAATCTCCCTGTTTTAGCAAACTTACCAATTTAGAATTCAGTATCATTTGTGGCATTAATATCACAGGTTATGCTGAGGAAATGTATTCTCTTCTCTAAAATATGTCAGGGATTTTGGAGGAAAAACATGAAAAGATTCAGAAAAAGGAAAGAAACAAAGGAGCTGGTAGGAGCACCGTATGTTTGAAACCAAAAGATGTCCAGGGGAAGCACAGTAGAAATGACAAAACTATGGCACACACTATTAAATTCTACACAACTTTAAACGACTTCAACATCCCTTTAGCAAAACATTGTAGCTGCTGGAATAGCCTGAGAAAAGTTTAAAATCTGTGAAAACATCCACAAATCTCAACACTGGTGGCTTTAGTTAACTACCAATGCTGGAAGTGAAAGGAACATGCAGGTATAAAAAGCAAAGTTGTTTATTTCAAGAGGGATGGATGAAGCAGGAAAAGAATAAATATCCAAATAGTAAACACAGGCAAAAAGCACCCATTAAGTCTAAAGAGATCTTGTCATTCCAGTAAGTCAATGAGAATTTTCTCTTCTGCTTTATGAGAACGTTGTACTAACCATGAGATAGTCATCATTGTTCCACATGACAACTAGCTCCATCTCCATCAGCTTGGCCACCAGACGGATGTTGCGTCCATAAGGTGCTATTTGAATTCCATTGCTGGTATAAGGCAACTTAATGACACTGTAATAAGGCGAGAAGAGAAACTGACCTTCTCATACCAATACTATGCAAGTATTATTAGTTATATAACACACATACGATCTGAGTACTTGCAGCAACTTGAAATAGAATTTTTTTCCTTTGTAACTGTAACATTTCAAGATATATTAAAATTTCTGTTGATTGAAAATCAATGTCAGCAGTTTCATAGAAGAATCACCAGGAGATGGTTGCATACTAGGTGATGATACTAGTGAAAATATTTGCACAGGACTTGGCATCTTCACTTGGTTTAGTTTTATTAGAGTATAGTTATATGTTTCAAGAATTTGTAACAATACAGTTTGTGTGGTAGAACTATCGTTGATTATCGTGAAGAGCTTCTATGGACTGCAGCCTGTTAATATAGGAATTATTGCTATGACTGAAAACTGACAAGGTTAGAGAAACCCATAATGGGAATGTTGTAGCAGAATTAGATTTTCATCCTTGCAGCTGAATTCTGATGCTACAAACTAACAACATTAAAGAACAAATATATTTTGCTAAGTACTTGATAAGTATGTGATACAATCATAGAAAAGTTGGTTGGAAGGGACCTTCTGAAGTTGCCCAGGCCAGCCTTCCACCTGAAGCAGGGCTATGTGCAACACTAGACCAGGTCAGTCATGGCATTTGGTTCTTGTGAATGTAGGACAAAAACTTAAAATGCAGATCATTGGGCTAGGCCCATAGATTTATATAGTTTTCCTGCAACATAAACTAATAATGGAAGTTTTTCTAAATACAGTTTACTGAATTAAGGTATAGCTGCAAGTTGTCTTTTTGTCGTGATGATTACTGTACCCAGGTAAGTGTCATAATACACAGACAATCCACAGTCAATTATTTCCCGTATCCGCATGTACTCACAGACAAGAATTCAACACTGCCTATCTGATAAAAATGCTGAAAACTTCCCTGGAGAAATTTTCTTGTATGGGAGCAATTTGTCTAGAAGAATGACTGGTGCAGAACCCAAAGGCTCCCATCATGTAATTCCTCAGTAAAACAGCTGTTTTCTGGACTTACTAATCCTTGGAATAATGTGAACAGTCAGTGGTCTCATACACCACTTTGTATGACTTCTTTGTAAGCCCCTCCAATATTTCTCTGTTGGTTGTATAGTACAAAACTTCTCTTGTACCCTATATATGTGCTATCTTTAGCACAGAGGGTTCAGAGTTACCCAAGTCTCAAATCAAATGAACTCTAAGCAAAACACAGGAATTTCAACTAATGTCTACTAAAGGGTATAAGCCGTTTCATCTGTGCTTGTAGTAGAGATAAGCGTAAGCAGACTGGTAGTACCTATGAGACTGTAGTTTCAATGTGAGAACTGCTTTGGCCTGAGGAGGTTAGTTTATCCCTTTGCCTACACAAATGTACTCTAAGCTTGATTCAAATAACTGCAGATGAAATACTTGTCTAGAGAGTGTGAATGCTTGATAGGGAGAAATGGGAGTAGAGTCCAGTTAGGTGTGCTAACTTCCATAATTTGTTAATTCATTTTTTGCCTTCTTTAAACACTTTTTTCCCATTCACCACAGAATCTTACCCAACACTCCTGACAGCAATGCTGCCTTTCTCAACAATGACAACAGAAGGTCCCAGCTCAATAATGATCCTTGCAATTTTTTTGTCCAGCCCACGGCGGAACTGAATGTTGAAGTCTGGGCTGGTTTCATCACATACAGTTGCAAAGATATAGTTGCAGGTCCCAAAGAAGTCATACTGGTATTTATCAAAGGTTGAAAAATGCCCTCCACCCCAGGTAGAACAGGAATCCTTGCTCAAAACTATAAAAGTGAGAGAGAAAAATGGATTTAGGTCTCCAACAGCATATTTGCTCATTCTGATTGCCATTTCAAATATAAATAGCAGGAAAAGCTAGTAAGTTTCTACTCAGATTAATTATGTAGACAACATCCTAGCCTTTTCTTTTTTGTAACCTCAAAATTTTATCTCAAGTCAGGACGTGAAGCAATAGTTGGAGTCAGAGCAATATTCTTATTTACGGTAAGCAGAGGAGAGCTCCCTAGCTTCCTAACTTGGGAAATATCCTTCCATCTCCTTTGTGGGTAATATAAAGACTTACCCTTCTCATTTCAGCCTGCTCGATCTGTTTGCAAAGGTGACAGCTTGCTACTGGAGAGACCTTTAACATCTCAGGCACAACACTTAGGAAGCTATCTAGGGCATTACTGTATCATGATTCATTGTACAGTCAGATCATTAGATATCCAAAGACAGTCTTCAAAGCCCAACTTGTAAGTCCCCACTTTTTTGGTTCTGTGTTTGTGTGACAAAGTTCCAGCCAGCTTTGTAAATGTATGGAATGTTTTAATCAGTTTTCATTTTTAAAAAGTAATCACTTTACATCTGAATGGACAGATTTTAGGAGGTTGAAATGAATCGTATTAAAAGAGATACAACTCCAGCACTTGATGTTAGGTATTTCTATACCTACTTAAAGCATTTGAACAGTCCCTCTGAAGTTGATAGAACTACTGAAGTAAGTAAAATCATGTCCTTGGTTATATATTTCCAGACTCAGGTCGTTACTTTCAATTTTTTAATTATTTTTGCTTATGGAGTTCTATGAAGCTCAGCTATCTTAGAATATCTCTTAGAAGCACAAAATATTGGGTAAGTTTAGCAAAGTCACTGCTTTAAAGCCAAAGCATTTTCTTACTCTTAAAGAGGGATCAAATGACTACAGAATGCTACTGTTTTTATTCAGGTCATGTAGAAAATGCTGTTTCCCAATGAGCTGTTTCCTGTTGGCAAAAAGTACTCCTCTTCCGTACTTCTGTGCTGTCCAGAACGTCTGACTGGAAAATAGGAATCAGCTAATCGTTGTCGTTGATCCTTCATGCCCGATTCCAGCTAGTTTAATATATTGTGCTTAAGTGATACTGACCAGCAAACCCCAGCTTTTTTAGAGTGTGCCAAGGAATGGTGACCTGGGGTTGCACAATAGTCAGAGTCCAGTAGGTGCCCCTTTCTGTAAATATAGCAGTGCCTTCAGTGTATTTGTTTTTATTTAAATCTTATCAGAGAAAAATAACAAATGGGAATATCAATAACTCAAGAAAGTTTAAAACTAGATTATATATTTGTCTTTTGAGTTCAGTTTTTATTAAATGATATCTAGGGATTTTCTTTTAGTTTGTGTATATCCATGTTCCTCTTGTTGTAAGAACAGACAGAAGACAGAGATGAGTTGCTGAATATTTTTTTTTTTTGGCTGATCACAAGTACTCAACTATTTTTACCTTTAGGATGAACTTCATGTGGCTCTTCCATGCTTATACTGTATGAGAATTCACCTAATTCAAGCCACTCTCTGCTTCTTCTCCCTAAAGAAATGCTTCTCATTATAATAAATTTGCATTTGTATATCATTCTTTTTGTTCTCCACCTCTGCATCTTCCCCAAACTAGATTAAGAATTTCATTGTCAACCACTGAAGGGAGCAACTTTTGGAGTACACACAGTTGCTTTTTAACAGTATGCAACAGTAAAGCACAGTATTTTAATGTAAAACATTAAGATTATGGATTACTAGGAAGAATGTCTGTAAATACAATATGATAGAAAAATTGTTCAGAATACTGGGACTGATATCCTTATTTATTTTAGAAAGGATGTAGTTAAGATTGTGTGTTTTCAGAAGGGTTATAGCCTTCTGTATCCTGTCTTAGCAGAGGAAGAGCATGTCCTATAAATACAGTATACCATGTCAGAATGATGACATTTATTCATTCTTGTAATGGATGTGGAAAATTAAATGCTTAATGAATGAAATTTAAATTGAAAAGTCAGTGCCTCACATTTCTTCAGAAAAGAACATGTGAAAAGTTGTATTGATTCTGACCAAGAGTTGATGTAGCTCGGTATTTTATTTCCGGCAGTGATCATTAAAAGGCTGCCCAAGGGAAGAATACCATCAGGTCAAGCATGTATACTTCCCCAGATACTCTCTCTGTCTCCAATTATTTTCAATTCAGGGTGTTTTGTGAGGCTATTGCGATTTGTCTGCTTACCCCCCTTGTGCTCTGGCTTCCAAGTACTTGACCAGCCTCTTTTTGAACCAAAGTGAAATTTCTTTGTAACAGAAAATACCACAATCACTGCTGTCAAAAGTTACCATTTTAATTATCAGTTAACATTTCAACTACATCTGCCTTCCTAACAGTACTTCTGACAACTAATATTTTTAGTACTTTAAAGCTATAATATGCTAATTATTTTGTGCTTTGGCATGGCACACATTTTTACGCAAAAATAATAGTAGTAGTAATAATAAAAATAACAGTAAATAATAAAAATAATAACAAAATAAAATAAAAAAATGAATAGTAGTATCTTACTATCTTTTCTATTTCTTACACTCGGAAGGACTAGCACAAATTTGCAGTAAGTAGGTGGCTGGAGTTAATTTTGCTTACAGATCTGGGTGAATGCATACAAGCCATTCTTAGGAGTTAAGGAAAACTTCTGGGAAACTAACAGAACTGGGGCAACAATAGCTTCAGCTGGCACAGCTGGATGTTGAAGCAGAGATCTGTCCATACCCTGCTGGCTACAAAGGTGAGGAAGAACTATTCCATATTCTGATCTTTCACTTGCACGTAAATTTGTTTTAACCTGCAATCTTTAAAATACTCTCATAGACCTAGCCTGTATGGAGAATCAGCTTTATTTCATTTCCTGGATTTTGCAGCATCAAAGGAATTCCATTTCCTAAATTCTTAGATAAAATTAGGCAGTAATCTGCAGGAATGAAAATCAAACAGATCACACAAATGACCTCAATAGCAAATTTCTAAATGTGGAAGGCTACTAAGCTGCTCATAGTTTCTATCCTTAGGCATCAAAACCTCAGCATGGCACACTAAAGCACTTTCCAATTAGTGTAAAACTTACCAGAGCGAGACAACATATTTTACCATCTTTTTATAGGCAAACTCTTCATTCAGAATTTCTAAAACTAATGCTTTAAATCGTATGCTCCTTGAAGCAAGGACTTATTTTTATTATGTGTTTCGTACAGTGTCTTCTGCAATACGGAATTGATGCTGAATGGGTTTGTTACTCATAGTTGCAACGTGAACATCAAATACCAGGTCAGGCACTTACTTCTTTGCAGAGATTCTTTCTGTTTTTGGATTAAAAAGTGGGGCCAATAATTTCCTTCAAAAGCTGTGAAAGGAAAAAGACAACAGGAAGAAGTTATCCTCTGAGCACAAGGAAGTTGAATTTTTGCATATTTATTTATTTATATATTTTATTTCTTTTTAAACATGGTACAAGTCAAAGCAGGGTCAGCACATATGAATTGTGCCCTGCCACACAAAAATCAACAGAAATTATAATTCGGCTTGTAATAAAAAATTCTTCTGCAACTGATAAAATGTTACCAAAAGCTGCCAGAAATCCTATGCAATATGGGATTTCTTGTAATTCATTCTCAAATACTATGATCCTCGTTAAAAAAATGTGGGATAAATCTTTCCTTATGTTTTTGAATTCTTATTCCATTATCCCGAAACTGGGAAAATATGGGAAAGGTCATGTCCCATGTGTTCTTCACCAGAATCACGGGATCTGCAGCTAAAGAGTGGGAAATCCCCAGGCCTAGCTGTTGCTTTTGCTGCTCATGTTAAGGCAGAATGATGGAAGCTGTTACCTGCTCCCTTCCACACACCTCTTCACAAAGCCTGTTCTGGTTATGAGAAGCCAAGGAAAGTTTAGCGAATGTGGAGTACAGTACGGTCCCTCTTCCGTCACAGACCCAGACCTGCTGCCTGTGCACAACTGCACCGTGTCCTCGTACGTACCCAAAGGTTCTTTCGCCTAGCAGCTTGCTTCCTGCCCAAAGTGCGAAGAGAGTAAGGTAGATGTTGAAAAGGGCCACCACAGCCAATCTACAAGCAGTGAGCCCTGTGCAGGGACAGAGGTGGTGCATGCATGGAGTGAGCTTTCTTAGAGTCGATAGCTGGATGGTAACAACCAAAGCAAGCCGTAAGAAAAAGGACCCGGGGTGCTTCAGAAATGTGGTCCTCAATTTTAAGGTTTGTCAGGTCCAGTATTTCTTAGATAGCAGGAGCAAATATCCTGTAGAAAGCATATAATTCTCTATTATATGTTTAGGATCTTTTGCAACAGAGAAAATAGGAAGGTATGTTATGGCAGAAGGTTTCTTTAATCACATACATCAGGCCAAGTCTACATATATACCTATATATATACTACAGCTCTGCAGCCTTCTGTTGCTTCCTTATATACTGAAGAGAATAAAAGCCCCTAGGGAGCTCACCAACTGTAACAGACTCTCTAGCCAATTCCGTGGTGTGCTGCTGAATGTCAGCTAGTATTTACCATGTGGTATCTCAAGGACTGTAGGAATACAGGCGAGGTTCTGCCTTGTATGTGAGGCTAGATTAAGGCACAAGAGGGCAAATTGGAGAATAAAAGCTTCAGCACATGCCTTTGCTTTGAATCCAGACGTCTCCAACTTCCCCATTGGTCTATGCCTCAGTTTTTCCCTGAAATAATACTTATTGAAAAAGATGTTATCTGGATAAACTAATCTAAGCTTTTAAGAGCTAAAATACTACACTGGTGGAATTGTATACAGTGAATATCTAGACAGAAGGGAAATAAATCAAGGATATAAGTTCAGTGACAGAAGTGCTCCCACCCCAGATGTTGTTCTAGTAGCTTTAAATGACATTCACCTCAGCCAGTTGTCTGGACTCTTTTCACAGGCTGTGAAACTAAAAACAAATTTGCTAAGAAGTACAATTTGGCTTGCAAAATGTGTGTCTGACATGGAACAAATGGATTATACACAAAAATTTTATTTCTCTCCATTGGTGTAAAGGAAACCTTAGGTGACTCTCTGTGGTGTAAATGCCAAGGCAGAAGTTCAGTGAAATGTGTTCCCTCTACCCTTCTTCCTAGATATCGTGTCCATTTCAATGGGACAGTGCTCTACAAACAAAAAATGAAACTCAAGAGTACAACGTAACATAATTTTTCTAGGTTGGAGTAAGTTACCAGCATAATAATTTCTTGATAAACTAAATAAGAACATTTCCACAAGAAAGAAACAGCACGAAGTGATCTCATTAGCTGTTGAGTTGCGAGCAGCTATACTCACTGCATGGCCAGCACTTCAACTTCCACGGCTGTCTGACACACTCATCAGAAAATCATTGTAGATCCTACTCACGCTGCCCTGTCCTCCATAATTGGTCAGCACTGGCCAATAATTGTTTGAAATTTTGCCAGTGTTTCAGTACAACCTCCATGGTCAGCCTGCAACTCAGCTGGCATCTCCAGAGTACGGCATGCTTCTTCCTCTGTCCTTCCAAGTTCCTAGTGAGCCACGTGTCACAGTAAGTCCACCACAAAAAGTAATAGAGTCAGTTTGTGTGGCTATCGAGCTAGCACTCTTTACACCTAGAGTTGCTGCTGCCTTTTTTGAACCCCTTGATTTTGGTATCTCCATTTGTTCAATAATATATTATTGTTGGTTTAACAGTTTTGCAATCACTACAGTTTAATCCCAAACTATAAACACTACATTAATGGGATTTAAGGGTGTAAGATGCCTTCAGAAGACATTTGATTTGCAGGAATTCAAGATATGCCTAAAACTTTATTTCAAGTGAGTTCTATCTAGAAAGCTTGATGTAAAACCAAAAAGTCTAATACTTTATGGACAAATATTTTAGATCACAACAGACAGTTTGTTTACAAATCTTATTTGTAAGCTTTTCAAACTCAAAATTCACAAGTCTAAGCATGCCAAACATGTTACCAAATGTTACAAATACTCCAGGTTTGGTATTTAGATTAAAAAA